GGGTCTTGCCTCTAGCCTCTTTGCAGGGAGTTCTGCTGAAGGGTTCTGTGCTGGGCCTGCACTCTGGGTCTATTCAGGATCCGGAGGACCCCAGGTCGTCTCACTCACTCGCTGGGCCTGCACTCTGGGTCTATTCAGGATCTGGAGGACCCCAGGTCGTCTCACTCACTTGCCGGGCCTGCACTCTGGGTCTATTCAGGATCCCGCGGCCCTCAGTCGTCTCACTCACTCGCCGGGCCTGCGCCCTGGGTCTATTCAGGATCCTGTGGCCTGGGTCGTCTCACTCACTCACCGGGCCTGCACTCTGGGTCTGGTCAGGATCCCATGGCCCTCGGTTGTCTCACTTACTCGCCGGACCTGCGCTCTGGGTCTCCCCTCCTTTTTCTTTTTAAAAAATTAACTTTGTTGGTATAATTTAGGTATACCTAATGCATAGGGATATTTGTACCTATACATGTTATATCTTGATTTTTTTCCCATTGCGCTCTCCTTCTTTCAACCCCTCTTCCCCTCCTTTTTATTTATTTTTATTTATTTTTTTGGCGGAACCAGGGATTGAACTCAGGCCCTTGTGCTTGCCAGGAAAGCGCTTATTCTACTGAGCCATCTCCCCAGCCCCTTCCCCTCCTTTTTTAGAGCTAGAAAGTTATGGTTCCATTTTATCCTTCTTTTCTTATTTGTTTTTTCTTTTTCCTCCCCCCAGCTTCCCCTCCAGTTTCCCTTCCCATTTGAACATTTGTTCCTATTTCACAATATCTGTTATATATTAAGGTCTTTATTTACACTTTCAGTTTCTGACACCAGAGAAACAATATAATATTTATACATACATGTATGTCTGATTTATTTTACTTAAGAGTACTGTCTCCAGGTTCATCCATTTACCTAGAAATGTCTCAAGTTTATCCTTCTTTATGGCTGAGTAGTACTCCATTGGCTTTCTACACATTGAAGACTAAAACTAGGCCCACATCTCTGACCATGCACCAAACATCAAAATAGATCAAAGATCTAAATATTAAGACAGAAACAATCTTCTGAAAGAATAGATGGAACTCTTAAAGATATAGATGTAGGGGATGCTGGGGAGATGGCTCAGTAGAATAAGCACTTGCCTGACAAGCGTAAGGGCCTGAGTTCAAGATATAGACGTAGGCAAAGACTTTATCAACAGAATACTGATAGCATGAGGCATATTAAAAAGAATCAACAACTGGCATCTCATTTTATTAAAAAGCAAGAGATATAAATTAAAACAATGGTGAGATTCTGTCTTACCTCAGAAAGAATGACTGTTCTTGAGAAATCAGGCAATAATAAATGCTGGTGGGGCTGCGGGGGAGAAAAAAGAACCCTTCTCCACTGTTGGTGGGAGTGTAGACTGGTGTAGCCACTGTGGAAATCAGTGTGGAGAATCCTCAAAAAACAAGAACTAGAGGTTCATTTAACTCAGCTATTCCTCTTCTGGGTACTGAAAGAGTTAAAGGCATCTTACCACAGTAACATATGTGTACCCATGTTTATAGCAGCATGATTTGTAATAGCTGAATCTTGGACATAGCCCAAATGCCCATCAACCAATGAATGGATAAAGATGTGTGTGTGTGTGTGGGGGGGGTTCTTTTAATACAATAGAGTTTTATATATATTCCTTTTTTTAGAGCTAGAAAGACTGCTATTTCTCACTTGCTAAGCCAGGGATCAATCACCCTATTGTACCTCTCAGCTCTGCCTCTCTGCCTGGAAAGAACTGCACTTTTCCAAGGAGTAAGGAGAGAATCTTTGTCCTACAATAGAATAATTCTGGTTAGTAGATAAAAATCTGGGTTCTGGAGAAGTTTCCATTTTCCATAAGAGAAGCTTTTCTTCCTACCTTGGCTTCTGCTTCTGTTCCTTTTTCTTTATCTCAGTGACTTTTATACTTTTCATATGAGGAGGGGGCCTTGCCAGTTAGCACAGTTGTTTAAAGCGCTTCCTTGGGCAACCTCAGTCAGGTGTGGGGGTCCGCAATTCAATCCCCAGCTCCATATGTGGCACCAGACCTACCCCCCCCCAAAAAAATTCAAGTTTTAATATGAGGAAAGAATAGATTTGGAAAATAGCAAATTGTAGCCTAGAACTTAATATCTGGAGAATCAGCATTCTTTATCTGCTCATTTCCAAGGTCTAAGATCAAGGCTGTGGGTTTGAATCAGTAAGTAGGATGAGTCTATAGAAGCGTCTTTCTGTTGGCTCCCTAGAGAATTCACGGGGAATGGGAGCATAATGAAATCCCGCCCAGGAGCAGTGGTGACTGGGAAAGGCACCTACCTGAGGTGTAAATGGTTTCTTCTCAGATACTCATGACTAATTTTAAATGAACTGGATCTGTGGTCCACTTTGAGTAAACTTAAGTTCCTTTACTGTAGAAAACATTGCACATAATAGTGTGTATTTCAAAATAAATAAGACAATCTGCAGCTTTGAGAAACTCATTGTCAGTGTGTCTATTATTTTTTAGTAGACCAGTAGCTAAATGATAGTATTTTAATGGAAAGTAGAAAATATTGCCAACATATAGGGAAAAGAGTAGGAGACTCTATTGAGTATTCTATTTGGGTAATGGAATGGGATCTGGAAAGCAACTGCTGGGGACCAGGGGACCTGGGCAACTCTTCTAAAACAAACACCGTAGAAGAAGTGGAATTTAAGGGATAGTAAAGGGGATAAAATCTAGCAAGTGCATAGTTGGAAGAGTGAGACAATAGCCTAGGTAGATATGACCAAGTGGACTTACCTAGCACATCTAGCACCTTTAGTGACTTTATATCTCAGACCAAGGAAGGAGCTAGTAGTTGCTTTCCTAAGGCTTCATGACATATGTAGCTATTGTTCTGATGGTTTGCTGATACAGCTAGCTGCATAAGAAGTCAGAATTGATCCTAATTATGCATTATTCTCTCAGAGCAGGAAGTACTGGGTCATTGTACATAGAGACACCTGTGCTGAGGAGCAGAGAGCCATTTGCTGGAATAGTTCAACTCCTTTGGAACTGTAGTACCTGTTGGCTGATGGCTCCTTCTTTTCCTCTTTCAGGGCTTTAAGTATAGTTGAGTTTTAGGGAGGAAATTAGAAATAAAGGGAGTGGTGAAGTTGAGCCTGTCCCTAACAGAGCCGGCCTAATTCTCTTGCAGTGAATGCCACAACTCCTCTGACCGTATTAAGGTACGCGTGTGGGATGAGGATGATGACATCAAATCAAGAGTAAAGCAGCGACTGAAGCGAGAGTCTGATGATTTCCTTGGCCAAACCATCATCGAGGTTCGAACGCTGAGTGGAGAGATGGATGTCTGGTACAACTTGGGTGAGGAAACCAGACCAGAAAAAGTTGTTATGAAGGAAAGACCTGGGAAAACTCCATTAGTCTCCAAAGCATACCTCCCTAAAGAGCCTATCTTACCTTCAGAGAGTTACCCACTCAGGCTGAATATTCTCAGATTTTCAGAGAATTCCTTAGTCTTCCTCCTCATCCCTAATGCCTTTAACCCCCTGGCCACATGGTGCCCTCTCCTTCACCTAGTAGAGGGATATCTATGGATACGTGGTCTGAATTCACCCTGTTGTTCAAATTCTTGGGTTGTTGCCATTTTTTTCTTTGGGTTAAGCCAGGATAGGCCTGTCTGTACTGTCTATAATTACATTGATGTCAATCTCTAGTCCTTTTCATTTTTAGAGAAGAGGACAGACAAGTCAGCTGTCTCTGGGGCTATCCGACTGCAGATCAGTGTGGAGATCAAGGGGGAGGAGAAGGTGGCCCCATACCATGTGCAGTATACATGTCTCCATGAGGTGAGTCAGCCCTCTGGAGAAGGAGGGCCCTTGACCATAAGTAGGACTGCTAGGTGGTTGAAGATCTGTGGCCTGAGTTTTGTTCTCTCTCTGACTTATGTGTTCCCCTGGAAAGCCCAGGAGACTGAACCCTGTTTCTCTTTCATTGATATGAGAATAGACTAAGAGGGCTATGGGAGGAACTGAAGAGTAACTTGAACAGAATTTCTCTAGAGTCCAGTTCATAGCCTCTTGGACTTTACCACAGGCTTTAGCTATCATTTTGTTTTTGTCTTGGTTTCTTGAGACAATGTCCCACTATGTAGTCCAAGTCCATGTAGGCCTTGAACTTACCTTGAACTTTTCTGTGCTCTGTATCCTACAGAACCTTTTCCATTACCTCACAGACATTCAGGGCAGTGGAGGAGTCCAGATCCCTGAGGCCCGAGGAGATGATGCATGGAAGGTGTACTTCGATGAGACGGCCCAAGAAATTGTGGATGAATTTGCCATGCGCTATGGCATTGAGTCCATATATCAGGCCATGACGTGAGACTCCTCTGGGGCTCTGAAATTGTTATCTATCCTTGGTAGCTAATGAGCGCACACTGACATGATAGACATATGGCCTCTGGGGGTAGCATGCAGTATGATGCCTTATTTTCCTCTGCACTTCAAGGCAGATGGTATATGTAGAGAGATAATGTATTTGTCAATAACTGAGGGACCAAGTTCAGGGAGGGAAGGGACCTGTTCAGACAACATAGGCTGAGCAGACATATGTGTACTTAAGCAAATATGTGATGACCAACAAGCTGTCCTAGCCTAGCCTGGGAGTCAGAAAAGGCACTAAACTGTGGGGAAAGCAGGTGTGTATAGAGTCGACTAAGATTCCACAACACTGGTTTAAATGAGGAAAACAAAACCAAAACAAAAAAGATGCCATGACAGGAATTTCTTAATGCTATGAGAAGTGTCTGGCTAAGTTGCTGCTAGAGCATCCAGCAAAGGATAGTGATTGCCTTGGCTATGCTTCATTGTTTCTACTCAATTTTACTGAGTTTCTACTTGGCTTTTGCTGCAAGTCCTACAGAGCTTTTGAGAGTGAGGGTGCTGTCTTTTTCAGACACTTTGCCTGTTTGTCATCCAAGTACATGTGTCCTGGTGTGCCAGCAGTGATGAGCACCTTATTGGCCAACATCAATGCCTACTACGCTCATACAACCGCCTCCACTAACGTCTCTGCATCTGATCGCTTTGCAGCCTCCAACTTTGGGGTGAGTATGATATAAACACATACATATCCATTTGTTATCAACAAAGTTTTATTTTATTTATTTATTATTTTTTATTTTTTTTAGGAAAGGGTCTACAGGGTGTTCAGGGTCTCACTACTAGATTGGACTTGTAGTGATTCTCCTGTTTACAGCCTCCTAAGAACTGGGATTACAGGCACGCACCACCACACCCAGTCTCATTCACCGTCTCATCTCAGCACACCCCGGGGGCTATTTGGTGGGCCCAACAAAGTTTTAAAACAGTTATTCCTAGCCAGTTCTATTGAGTTGATTAATACACCTAATATTCAGATACTCACCACCATGATAGATCAAACTTCTTTCCTTATGGATCTGTAGACTATACTCAGTAGACTCTCCTCAGACACATATAAGTGGTAGCACTATTGTAGTGTAGGAAGACTGCTCCTGGGCCTGGGAAGGGCCTTTCTGGGCTAAGAAGTTGGTTGAGTCACCATATTCTTCTGTCTTACAGGCCCACAAATGGACTTTTCTTAGTATTACTCAGTTTCTCTGTGACAGCTTCATGCCTCTTATGTTCATATAAGGCTGATGTCATCCTAGAGAGGATGACAGTGTGTGCCGAAACTTACCCCTTTCCAGTGTCTAGACTGTTTTCCCTTTTGTACCCTCCTGGTGTTAAGGTCACTGTGCAGTTAAGTCATAGGCCAGAATGGCATCTGACATAAATTGAATATAAACTGAGTGAAATGTTTTTGACTTATCACAAAGCTTTTGTAAGAATAACATTACTCCCTCTCCTCCCCTCAATCCACTGAGTCTCTGACCCTGTGCTCTGTCACTGTATCACCTTTTGTTATTGATAGTCTTTCTATAGATGAATTAATATAGCTTATTAAGGCAATCAGCTACCTGTTCTGTCTCATTTCAGTCTGAAATGGCATGATACCTAATGATAATAGTCAATATATTAGTTCTAGGGATTTTTGCCAACCACCTTCAGGCACATGCTTCCACATTTAATTATACTTTCTCTATGAAAGTCAACTATTAACATAATGTTATATGTTAGCATTGAAAAGATACATGGTAAGAGAAATTAAGATGAAAGTGATTTAAGGAGAGTTTCCCCTTATGTCTGTCTGACCCTCTTCCAAATACTGTTTTCCCCAACATTACTGCTAGGCTATGGCTGTGTACCTGCTATGCATTTCCCAAGATAAGTCAAGATATCTAGTTATCAGGAGCAAATTGGAAAATATGCTAGAGTTTCATCTAACTCAGATGAATTCTCCCTAAAAGAACAGAGATGCACAGATAATGTTTTGTTGACTTGTTACAGAAAGAGGTACTTTCCCTCCTAAGGACTTGGCTTTCCCTTTGTCACTGTGAAAAGATACCCTCGTTTGAGACAGGGCTGCTAAGAGATAAACAGGGATCATCCATTTTTCCTTTGTATTATTTGTTGTTCTCCCCATGGATAGAATGCATTGCCAGCCAGAAAAGGTTGTCTCCCAACCTTTGTGTTCATGCAGAAATGGTTCTATTTGTGCTACAGTTTAGGGGCATCAGAAACATTACCACCCTCACCAACTGCTTGTTTCTTATCCTCAGAAAGAGAGATTTGTAAAACTGCTGGACCAGCTACACAACTCATTGAGGATTGATCTCTCTACATATAGGGTAAGTCAAAGCAGTAGCTGTGGGGTGGGATAATAGATAATGTCAAGTTCTATCTAGGAAGACAAAGGCCAATCTCGCTATAAAGATCAAATGCAGGGAAAATTACTCTGTGTCTTCATAGCCACCTGAATGGCTAATACCACTAGCACCTTTGATTCTCCTAACCCAAAGGACCATGCAGTATATAAATAGGTCTGACTGCTTTTTAGTGACACTAATGTTAATAAGTTCTGATAACCCACTGCCATCGGACCAGCCTGACTGCTTTTTATAAACAGACTTTCTAAGCCTTCTCATATCACCACCAGACTCTCATAACATTTTCATTAGAAGTTTTCTGACAATAATTTCTTCTACAAGTACCTTAAAAATATATATACACTTTACAGGGATGGTGGTCCACACTTGTTATCCCAGCTACTTGGGAGGCCACGGCAGGAGGATTGTGAGTTCAAGGGCTGCCTGGGCAACGTAGCAAGACCCTTTCTCAGAAAAGAAAAAGTTAGATAATTATGCTGTCATTTTGTATTTTTCTGTACTGTCCTCATTTTTTTCATGGAGATACAAGAATCTGGCTGGGGTAGAAAGAATAGCTTGGCTTGGGCAAGTAAACTGATTTCTTTCAGAGGTCTTACTCCTACTGTGGAGGGAGAAAGGTGGGTTAGTAGAAGGGTAGATACTTGAGATGGCTTAGCATAGCTTCCTTGCTTGCTTAAAATGTGGTGACTTTCCAGAACAGGCAATATACACACATTAAAAAGTAAGTATGAAAACATCTCAGAGTTTTTAAAAAGTGTGATTTTAATTATCTGTACTTTCAGTGTCTCCCTTTTGCATGAATAATGGAGAAATGGCTGTATATCTTACTTTTGACATATAAGTAGCCACTTGAATGTTTAAAAACTGACCTTTAAAGAGAAGACATGTGGATTGATGTCATCTCCCTTCAGCTCTCCATGACAGCTTCTTCCTAAAACTCATGCTAAGGGGAACAAAATGAGACATGCAAGAAAGGCTCAAGGAGCTCATTTCACAGACTTTCTCCTCAGCACTTTGTCATCTCCTGCCTCCAGAACAGGAGAAAAGCTGGGGTCTCCTGTACAGAAAGTACAGGTCCTGGAGCACAGTTTTGTTTGTCGTGTGGCTCTACTTATATTCCAGGATATACAGTTAGATTATGGCTTTTAAAGAATTCACTGGGGGTAAGAATCTTCATCCAAGAAGGGTGTGTGTGTGTGTGTGTGTGTGTGTGTGTGCGCGCATTTGAACAAATGCCTACACATTGCATGGGAAGTTGGATGTGCTACTTTTTTTTCTAGTTGTGGATTATTAACCTCTGTTTTAAGCAAGGACATGCCTGTGTCAATAAAAAAGAAAAGAGACCTGTAATGTTCCGGCTTTTTTTTTTTTTTTTTTTTTTTTTTGCCTAGTTCAACTACAGAGATACCCAGTGGGTCTTGATTTCATTGTTTTTGGTGGAGAAGGTTTTCCTGTTCCTGTGTTCATTTTTTACATTTACTTGATTTGCAACAGAATAATTTCCCTGCTGGGAGCCCTGAGAGACTTCAGGATTTAAAATCCACAGTGGATTTGCTGACCAGCATTACTTTCTTCAGAATGAAGGTAAGAATGGGTAGGGCTGGTTGGTGCTGGGTTAAGGACCTGGTCACAAAAACACAGAGTAAGTATTATGCAGCACAGTCCGAGGCTACAGTTTGTACCTAAAAGCTCACATTTCCATATATCTGTCTGAGAGGTACACATATAAGTTGATTCAACAAGGATGGTCTGGAAGTTCTCCCCATCAGCTCTCCTCAGTTTCATCATAGAGCAAGGTCTAGGGACCCAGAAAGGGATGAAGGAATCTAGAGTGGGTTTGCCAGGAAGGTATTCCACCTAGGAAAGCAGGGTCCTAAGCCTATATTTCTTCTTTTTTTTTTTTTTTTTTTTTTTTGTATTTTTAGGGAAGGGTCTACAGGGTGTTCAGGGTCTCACAACTAGATCGGACTCATAGTGATCCACCTGCTTACAGCCTCCCAAGAGCTGGGATTACAGGCGCATGCCACCATGCCCAGTCTCAGTTGCTATCTCAGCGCACCCCAGCGGTGGGGCCAGCATGGCAGGCCTGGGCTATATTTCTTCTGTTAACTGACAGGTACAAGAACTGCAGAGTCCACCAAGAGCCAGCCAGGTGGTAAAGGATTGTGTGAAGGCCTGTTTGAACTCTACCTATGAGTATATCTTCAACAACTGCCATGACTTATACAGCCGCCAGTACCAGCTGGTAAGAGGTTTGAGGTCTTCTGGGTATGGTGGCATAAAAAAGAGATTTCAGATCAGGTAAAGTTAGCTGACTGTGGGTCTGGGGAGCTTCAGCTTTTCCTTGCTAGTATCATGGTGGAAAGGAGCTCAGGCCAAAGTCCTTCCTGTTTTCAAGGGAGACTGAGTTATGAAGTATGGAACACTTAGATGGTGAAATTTATGGATTGAGAGGCACCCTTGAACAGAATATTTTCACCTGAGTTGAAATATTTTTACCTATTCACCTGAGTTTAAAAAGTGACAGTAATAATCTTTTCTTTGGAACTAAGGAAAGTAAATCTAAATTTGAACATGGCTCAGGGGTTGATTAAATGGTAGTGTTCTCTTTATTCCGGAGTCTTTTCTTTTTCCCTTAAGGTTAATGTTTTCCGGCTCATGTGGTACATAATAGGTTATATGCTGTCTTCCTCTGAGATCTGTAGCTGTCTCTCTGAACTCTATTTTATCAAAGTATTTTTCCTCTTGATCATATCTTCCTGCATTGCATGCTTTTCTGAGAAACTACTACCACCATTCGCAAGCAGACGCATTCAGCAGAATTTTGCTTCCATTTTCAAATTTCAAGTGACAGACATAACCACAGCCATCTTCTCCACACAAACACAAAAACAGCCATCTTCTGTTTGTAAAATAAAGTCGTTCGTAAAGTGAGGTACCACTCTATATTTACCAGCTGACTGTCAAGACTGACCCTATCTTTCTGTGAGGCTGAGCTACTTTACCTATTTAAGGTGGCTTTTCTAATTCAATACCTGGTGATCAAATATTGAGAAAACTATGTAAAATAAGGGGTATTTGAGATAAACATTGAAAGGTGAAAGCCCAGATCTATCAATTTACCCCAAAGGATACAATACATTCAATTTGTACCACTTCCTACAAACGCCTTCATAAAGACCACGGCTCTGTTCGTGCTGCTTCCTCTTATTCCCAAATGTGTTTTTTGCACCAGTCAAACATGTAAGGCTTTCTTCTTAAGTTTATACAAATTTTCCTTGGTCCTGCATCCATGGGAAGTTTTCCCGGGTCTGTATTTTACTTACTACATTCTGGGCTCCTCTGCCAGCCATCTGATAGTGTCTGACTAGGGAAGACACTGTTCTCAGTTTGTTTTCCAACTTTGTAGATGAGGAGGCTTTGCACACCACTGAAGGACCTGCCTGTGTTGTGCTAGTTGCTTTTTCTTTTCTCTTAATCTCATTGTCTCGTTTTTCAGTATTTATACTGTAGTAAACCCTTTGGGTATATTTTAACACTTTCCTCTACCTGACTTCTGTCATTAATTCATTAATCCATTCACCTAACAAAGCATTAGAGATATGAAGTTGAGTGAGACTCATCTGTGCCTCTGGGGAACTGTTTGGTGGATCTGGGGCAAATTACTACAGTTCCTGTTCTTTTATGATTACATTTAATTGTAGTTTTAGTTGTTTGAAGAAGGACATTTGCCCAGATCAGGGTTGTCAGGGAAAATGTCTTAGAAGTAAAGTTCTACCTGGATTTTTTTTTTTTTTTTTTTTAATGTATTTAGTACAGGGTCTACAGGGTCTCACTACACATTGGGACTTGTAGTGATTCTTCTGTTTTCAGCGTTCCAAGTAGTGATTCTCCTGTTTTCAGCTTCCCAAGTGCTGGAATTATAGGCGCGTGCCTCCATGCCCAGTCTCAATTGCCGTCTCAGCCCCGGTGGAAGGGGGAGGGGGTGCCAAACCTCAGCCCCTGCATCTGCCTAAGCAAGTGCTTTAATCCACTGAGCTATCTGGCCAGTCCTTTTTACCTGTATATTAAGGAAGGAGTAGAAATTAGCTCAAAAAAAGGGGCTGGGGGTACCATCAAGAGAATGTTTGAAGACATAGAATTGTTAATTTAAGGAAACAGAGCAATTTAATTAGGCTTTAGAATTCATTTCTCTGGGATCAAATCTTGGTTCTGCTGTTTAAAATAATATGACCTTGTGCAAGTCATGAAACTTCGCTGTTGTTCAGTCCTCTGATTTGAAAATGAAGGTGATAATAATTTCTACTAAATGGTTTTGTTAGAAGAATCAAAGGAGATAGTATACATAAAGTTCTTAGTAGAGTCCTTAGACTACAATAAGTAGTAATCTGTGTTAATGCTGAATGCAGTGGAAGAGAAGTGGTAAGGGATGAGGCTGAGGGATAGGTCTGTGTGTGTGTGTGTGTGTGTGTGTGTGTGTGTGTGTGTGTGTGTGTGTTCAGATATATGATCTCATTGTGTGTAGTGCAGGCTGGCCTTGAACTCACTAATGTAGCCCAGGCTGACTTTGAACTCATGGGCAATCCTCCTGCCTCAGCCTCTTGAGTGCTGGGATTATAGCCCTGTGCTACCACATTTTATTTTGAAGGGCCTTTGTGTCAAGCTAAGAAATTTGAGCTTAACTGAAGGACATTAATCAGAAAAATAATACTTTCCTTATAGAAAGATCCCTGACAGCTCTCCAGAGGAGAGGTATTGAAGTACCTCAGTTGGAATAGTGGCAGAAAAATTTTTAAAAAAAATGTTTTTAAGTGATATTAAGGAAGTAGAAGTAACAGTATAAATTTCTGATTTTTAGTACTTCTTGATGATGCAGGCTTATTAAGGACAGAGACTTTGCAGTGACATGTGACATCTACATAAAAGCTCTATCCCTGTTCTGAGCTGCTCCACTTTTGCCTTTATCCTAGAAAGAGATAACGTTCATTCCAGTCTGTGGTGGGTAATCACCTGTGCTGTCTAGAATCTGAATGTGGAGTGACTCCTCTTGCTGAGATGCACCACTGAATTGCCTTGCCTCTTCCTAAGCAAAGCCTTTTCTTACCAGCTAGGCAGAGCTTCCTAGATACAGTTTCTCCTTAAGGCCCTTCAAGAAGCCAAGGGGAACCCTACCCCATTGCAAAGCCCAAATGCATGCAAGATCTGTTCATTAGCTCCTGAAGAACCTAAAGGAAGTTTTGAGAGCTGAAATCCATGTGTGTGGTGGAGAGATAGAGTAGGGACACCTCCAGAAGAGGGGGTGGCCTGGAGTAGGAGGTCATAGAGAACTGGACCTACTCAGTGAGGCAGGAGGGTCCGTCAAGGAGTCAGCTGCCCACAGCAATGGAGTGGAGGAGGAAGGAGAATGAGTGCCTTTGTTCCTCCTGGACTGGAAAAGCTTAGCAGGGCAATGCCCTGGAGCTGGGGAGGGAAATTCTCCAGAGGCAAGAGGCCTCTACTAGCTACTCCTCATGGAACAGGGGCAGTCTTGTGGAAGACAGGCTGTAGGAGAAGAAAGGTCCCTGATTCTAAGAAAGGAAGAATGGGAAGGGAACAAAAAGAGGAAGATCTGAGGCACTCTTGTTTCTTCTCCCTTTTTCCCTTGGGGTCCTCTGGAACAAGAAGCAGGAGCTACCTCCAGATGAACAAGGGCCCAGCATTCGGAACCTGGATTTCTGGCCCAAGCTCATCACGCTCATTGTGTCAATCATAGAGGAAGATAAGAATTCCTATACCCCTGTGCTGAACCAGTGAGTACCACCCTAGTTGGCCCAGCCTGCTTGGTGAGTGGTCTACCCATCCGTCTAACAGCCTTTCTTTCCTATCTCTGTGTGTTTACAGTGCCACCTCTTCTTCCTGTCCGTTCGTCTGTCCCTCTGTCCCTTGTATCTGTCTGGGTAACTGTTTCTGGAGACAGGTGTGGAAACATAATGGGGTGCCCTGCTCATACTGAGTCAGGCTGTGGAGTAAGAGGCCTTGGGGACAATGGCTGCCATGGGAGCCCCAGGGGATGCAAAGACTATGTGTGCATGTGTCTGTTTGCTGTGCATGATGAGGGGCCTTCTTAAAACCTGCCCATGTCTCCTTTTTCCTCCAGTTTATGCTGGGTCTGTCTTATACCCATCTTCTGGGCTTGAATTCCCTGCCTTCTGGGCATTCTATTCCATGGGCCCACACTGTCAAAGGGGATTCCCTTTGCTTCCACGTGTCCTACCATGGCCCACTTCAAACTGAGCCTAGCTCTGTTCCCAGGCTTCTTTTCTCTTCAGTATGACCTTTAAGAACTAGGTTCCTGGGAAAGAATCAAATCAAATGGCTCTTGTCTTGTTCTCTGACTGTGGTTTCTTCTGTCATCCAGGTTTCCTCAGGAGTTGAATGTGGGAAAAGTCAGTGCAGAAGTCATGTGGCATTTGTTTGCCCAAGATATGAAATATGCATTGGAGGGTAAGGGACTACCCAGATGGGTGAGCTGCCAGGTTGCTAGCCTAGATACCCTGTAACTGTGAAATCTGGATAAATGGAGCAGTGAAAACTAGAGGGATTCTAGGTATGGTGGGTGGATAGGCATTAAAAGACCTTGGGTGGGTAAAACTGCAGGCAAAGGAGATACAGTAATAGAAATGGCTATGTGGATATAGGTTTCTCCTTCTAGCTTTAGAGAAAGTACCTGTTCAAGAATTTCCCAGCCCCCTCCCCCCAAAAAAAGAATTTCCCAGCCCAGAGATCAATTTCTCTTGTGGTGAACATTCTCAGGAAGGCATCCTGAGAATGGTTTTGTGAAACTCAATTTTACAAGTTTGAGAAGTTTTTTGTTTTTAAATTTTTTTTAAAACAATATTTATTTGGGGTTGTTTTGTTTTGTTTTGTTTTTTGTATTTTTTAGGGAAAGGTCTACAGGGTGTTCAGGGTCTCACTACTAGATCGAACTCATAGTGATCCGCCTGTAATCCCAAGAACTGGGATTATAGGCGCATGCCACCACGCCCAGTCTAAAACAATATTTATTTGATACAGGGTCTCACTACACAGCTTGGATTGTAGTGATCCTCTTGTCTCAGCCTCCCTAGTGCTGGGATTACATGCATGCATCACTGCACCTGGTTTCGATAGCCACTACAGTACACTGGGGGTTCTAGAGCCAGCACGGCATGTAGTACTGGGTATCGAACCCAGGTCCTTGCACTTGCCAGGCAGGTGCTTAGACTGTTGAGCTATCTCTCCAACCCTGTTTTGTTTTTTTGAGGCAGGCTCTCTCAGTGTAGTTCAGGCCAGCCTTGAACTGACTGTATAGCCCAGGATGGCGTTGAACTCATTCCTCCTACACTAGCCTCCCAAATTCTGGGATTACAGATGTGCAGCACCACACCTCACTTATCTTTCCAGTTTTAAAAATCAGACAACCAAAAAAAAAAAAAAAAAATTCAGACAACCTTAAATACAAAGATAGAAATCTTTATTTTCCCATATTAGAGACTGACTGGCCTGACTGCCCTTAAAAGGTGTTTTGGATTAGTGTGACCAAGCCAGAAAGACACTTCTTCCCTCACTCTTCTTGGAGAGCAGGCCCACAGAGATATTGTTATTCATCTTTTTCATCCAACTTATTGTTCTTCCATTTCCCACGTTGGCCACAAAGATGTCACTTGTTACCTCTGTCAGACTTCTCACGTGTACCATCTGTGCTCGTCTATTCATTTGCCTTTCCTATCTGTAGAGGTCAGTCTAGCGCCCCGTCTGTCAAGAGGGATCTAAAGGAAGGAGGCATTGTCTGGGGCAAACACAAAGCAGTCTTCATCTGTCATTTGGTGGAGTGTAGGGGAAATGGCTAACTCTCAGACTCTAATTAAATTTGTGAAGTTTAAGTTTAGAATCAGTGAATCCTGAGATTGAAAGAAATCTTGAAGATCTGTGCTAGGTTTGTGCAGCACAGACTACACGTGTGCTTTCCGTAATCAGCCCCAGAACAGAAGCTGTGACCTGCCGGTGCTGGGGCCATCCTAGGGCTGTGTGAAGTTCGCTGAGTGCCTGAGGAACTCCAGCTCTACTGGTGTATTGGTCAGGGTTTTACTTAGAGGAACAGATATAAGGAACAGATATTAACACAAGATATACAATGTATAAGGAATTACAAGATTGCTTATGGTAGTCAGCCGCAGAGTCAGATGAGGGAGTGTGCAGAGGGTGTCTGCACATCCCAGACTGAGGAATTCAGTCCCAAGGTCTGAAGCTCACTGCTGTGCTCGGTGCAAGTCTCTACTCATGAAGAGTCTGTGACTGACGCTGAAAAGTCTGCAACGGAAGGTGAAGGATCCAAGCCGGAGGCTGAAGAGTCTGTGCTGCAAACCAGGCGATGAAGTCCAAGCCGAATGTGAAGACTGAAGTTCCTCCGACGAAGTGGAAGATTGACTACTTCCTCTGCCTCTTTATATAGTCTCTTTATGCTGAGTCACTCTGGGGCAGAACCAATTGTGCCCCAGGGCGGGACCCCCACCAGCCGGAAGTGTGCCACCGAGTCATCTGGCCAAGTTGACATAATGTGTCAACTACTACAAGTGGCCTTGGAAAGATAAGTATTTGTGAAAAAGAACTCCACAAGAGACTGGCGGTGTATGATACAATGGAAGTTTGCAGAAAAATATCTCAAGAGCTAAATTAAAAGGGAAACCCAGGGGCTAAGCTGAAGGCCTTTTACCTAGTGCCAGAAAAGTCAGCTTGCTTTTATAAATTTTATATGAGACTCTAGGTATGGTATCTTTTGAAATGGGAGTTCTGCTAATGTTGAAAACACAAAAAAGTTGAAAACCACTTTAAGAGAATGAACAAATATTAATCTGGTTTCAAGTCTCAGTTTCACCACTTGGTGTGGCCTTGGATCCAACAACTTAATTTTTGTTTTTCTCATCTGTAAAATGATGATGACATCTGTTTCACTGGGCGTCTTACCAGCTTCAAACTGAAGTGTTAGCTATTAAGAACAATTAGAGGCTACAGCAGGGGGCATTACCTTGAGTTCAAGGCCAGCCTGGGCTCCATAGTGAGACCCTGTCTCAAAAAGAACAATTAGAACTGTTATAGGCAGAAATACAATGTGAACAAAGTAGGATTTTTAAAAATTTTACCTTAGCAGAAGTCAGGAGAAGCTGGGATTAGGAAAGAGAGAGGCAAAAAAAAAAAAAAGAAAAAAGAAAAAAGAAAGAGAGAAGCAAAGAATGCAGTGGACTCTTAGCAACATATGAACACAATTCATTCCCGAGGGCTAGTTTTATCTCAAGTTGTTGATTGAAGGCTCAGGCTCCTCTACACAATCTTCAAGGTCTCCTGTATGCAGCAGATCTCAGTGTCTTTAGTGAGACATTTGCCCTGGATTTCCCAGTTAACCCCATACAGGAAAGGATACTATAATTCTTCCAGAATTCTTTGATCTTTTGAGGCTAGCCTGAAACTCACAGCAATCCTCCTGCCTCAGCCTTCCAAGTGCTGGTATTACAGGTATGCACCACCATTCATGGCTCTTCCAGAATTCTTTAAGGGTTAAATCTATACCTGATTAAAAAAAAATTTTTTTTTTAAAGAAATAAATAAAGTGTCTGTACCTGGGACCATCTGGAAATACAGGCAGCCGGCATTCAGATCATAACTGAAGACTTTGGTCATAAGTTAAAACTAAAATTCCAGTCATAACCCAACCTGTTCATATGTCAGACTGATCATAACCACATGGTCCACTGCATTAATAATGAAAGGGCTATGTAATCATTTAGGAATAAGGGAGTAGGGAAGGATTAGAGCAGAGAAATCATGAAGGAAAATGAGCTTTGATAGACACCAGAAAGAATTTGAAACAGGGCCTAGGAAATCTCAGAATCTGAAGTGCAAGTAAAAGGGAGAAGTATTTGGTAGCTTTGATAATAAAAGGGCAGCATCGATGCTGATTGTAAAAGGAGACTCAGAAATGCTGTCCTCCTTTTGTTTTTGTTTTTGTTTTTTTCCTCCCTTTTTGGAGTAAGGGTCTCACTTTTCAGTTCAGGCTGGCCTTGAACTCACTGTGTAGCCCAGGCTGGTCTTGAACTTATGGTGATCCTTCAGCCTCAGCCTTTCAAGCGTTACAATTACAGTCTTGTGCCGCCCTGTCTAGCTAGCAGATATTTTCTAAGTGAACTGAGGAGTATTTTATGCACAATAAAGAAAAAGCACTTTAAGAGTACAATTTTGGGGAAAAAATACAATTTAAAAGTTTTAGTGCATGTACACACACACATACACACATACCTGTGTAACTAGTTTCTCAATTAAAATATGAGGCACCAGCACTTGGCAGGCTGAGACAGAAAGATTGCTTCAAGTTTGAGGACAACCTGGACTACAGAGTAAGATCTTGTCTCAAAACAAAAAACGAAGGAAGAGAAGAAAATATGAACCAGAAACTCCCCTCTTGTTCCTGTGCAGCAAATCCCCACCTCATTTAATAAGTGTTTTCTTTTAAAATAATTTTATTGAGAAAGAAATAGCAGTGAGACAGTTGCAAAACCAATTAATAGGACAGTTTCAATAATTAACACATTGCAGCTTCAATGTATTCATGTTACTTCAGGCCATCATTTTTTTTTTTTTTTTTTTTTTTTTTTTGTGGAACCAGGGATTGAACTCAGTACTAAGTGTTTATTGAGTATTATTTTTTTGTACCAGGCACTGTGCTAGTCATTAGAGTCCCATTGAGATGGGAAATTCACAGACCCTTGAAAAACTCACAGACTGATCCAGAAAACTTGTATATAAATTAGATATTACAATACAAAGTTTTAAAACCACAAAAGGATGAAGATGGGTCCTGAATGCATAGAAGATAGCCATGTAACCCAGACTCAGAACCTAAGAAAGCTTCCTGAAGGAGGAGATGTATAAACAAACCCAAAGAACGAGAGGAGTTAGCTGCTGAGGAGGAAGGGTGACAGAACATTTTTATGCCAAAGATGCAGCATGTCTAAGATGAGGTCTGGAGAGAGCTAGTGTGCTTGGGGAATAGAAGAATTGTTCAATGTTACTAGCTCTTCAGAGATCAGTGAGATGTGAGGATAGAGAGATAGGACTGCTGGATCACAGAGGAAGTTGTAAGTCAGGTTTCGGTTTCTGGACTTCATCCTGTGGCAGTTGGGGGCTATTGACCTGATAAGCAAGAGATGGGTATGGTGAGATGTGTCATGCAGAAGGGCTCCCCTACCCACTCTCCACAGTGCAGAATGAATGGGAAGGAGCAATCAGTCTAGAGGCTACTGTAGTCATCCTGGTTAGAGATCATGGTAACAGACCTGAGCAGGTACTCTTGTGGCCAGAAAGATATGGGTAGATTCCATGGCATTTTGAAGGTAAAGTTAGCAGGAGCTGATGATTTAACTGGATGTGAGTAAAGCGAAAGAAGGAACACTTTGGGTTGGGGAGATGTTCAGCGGTCTAAGCGCCTGCCTGGAAAGTGCAAGGACCTGAGTTCAGTCCTCTGTACCACATGCCATACCAGCCTGGGAACCCTGGTCACACTTTGCTAGCCCCGAAACCAGGTGTGGTGGCACATGCCTGTAATCCCAGGTAGGGGTCTGAGACAGGAGGATCACTATGAGTCTGACTAGTGTAGGGACATCCTGTAACAAACAAATGGAACATTTTGGGGTGCTGTTAGCTTTGAACAAAAGGATCAGACTCGTTGGTATACTCTGTTCAACTTTACCTGGGTTGTATATGGAGAGTAACAGAGACTGAGAGTAGGCACAGTGAGATGCATCTTAGATGTGCTGCATACTACTACTACACATTACCAGAACCAAAGAGATTTGTGGAAAGTAGCAGCAAAACAGCTGGTCTGCAAAGATGAAGGATGGAAGGAGAAAAGCAAATTTTGGAGCACGACATTATGGAAACATGATTCCTCCTTCGGGTAGACTTACACCCACCACCAGCAGTAGCAACAGCAACCTCAGGCATCTCTGCTGGAGCAGAACTCCCTAGACCTTGATAGAATAATGTATGAAGTACGACCAGTATTTTGGCACTCATTTGGTAGTGTTTATACCATGAAAGTTAATATTTGCTGTAAAAATTGGAGCCTGGGGCCAGAACACAGGTAATAGATGAAGAATTGTGCATAAGTATGTCTTAGTAAAGGAGGAAAGGTTTATTTTGGCTCACTGTTTGTAGAAGTTTCAGTCCATACTCAGTTGGTTCTGATGGTGGCATGGGAGAGGAACAGCTCAGAGGAGAAACAGTCTAAGGCAGAGCAGGCTGGAGGCAGCAAGCAACGATCTTGCCTTTTCTGTCCCTTTTAATTCCATTCAGACTATAGACCTATTGATTAGTCCCACCCACATTCAGGGTGGACTTTCATTTTCCACACCCAGAACCAGGCTAAGCCAGTTTATCATACACCCTTAATTCCAGTGTGATATACCCTAGATCCAGCCACCTCCAACAAAGCCCCACCTATGAGTGAACGTGGGTTTGGAGGCACATCTAGATACAAGCCTTAACAAAATACAATAACTTGAAAGTCCTGAGAAGAAAGAGTTAGGAAGCACTTGAGGCATGGAGCAGCCCTGCCCCAGCTCTAATGGGTTGCTGAACATGAAGGGCAAAGGCAATTCCCTGTGATGTGATTCACATTTTTTAGTCTAGGACTAGTTTAAAAACAGCAGGGGATGGTGTAGAGAAGAAAGGCTCTCTGAGAGCCCAGGCTTTTCCACTCTGTTGCTCATTGGTGTCTCTGCTCTGTCAAAGCAACCACTGTCATTCGTATTCGAAAAGTGCTCTTTCCTGGTGGTAAGAATTTTTGGTTGTCCCTTTACTTCTAGCTTAGTACCTTTTCCTTCCCCTGCTCACTGCTTCATAGAAGACAAATGCAGCTTCAGGTTGGGATGTTGCTGCCTACAGTACCAGGAAATAGAAGTCCTGGGACCTGAAGTCTTTTAAACCCCAGGCTTCTATTTCTTTGTGGAGTATCTGCTGCACTAAGTTACAAGGGCCATTTGCCCCACACTAGATGTTCTGCCTGGACTTGGAGCAGCGTCTCCCGTGGCACCCCGAAGTTGAGCAATAGTCCCGAAGGACGCTGGCCTCTCCTTCTGTGTTACTTAGCACAATCCCCCATTTGCTTGCTTTTACCATTATTCAGTTTCAGCACACAACTGATACTCACTTTTTACATTATATGCTTCAACTCTATAAAGGGGATGGGAGGAATGAGGAGTATGTGTTATGGGTCACTCAGAATAGGAACCAGATCAGCCAGGTTGGAATTTGGAAAGCCGTTTATTACTGAGCTCAGGGACCCCTGGTCTGCTCTCACGCAGGAGAGGACAGAAAGGCAGCAGCCCAGGAAGCAGGAAGGGGTTTTAAACCCTGGAACCACATTGAGTTTGATAAGCAAATTTATTGTCTGACCATACTCAGTTTGGTAAACAAATTCATTGTCTGACACAAAATAATGCTTTTAGAGTGATTGGGCCCACTACTCAAACTACATTTCTGGGGCTTTTGTTTCAGTTTGTGGTTAATTTGCACCTGAGTACCTGCAGGCAGCCTTGCATAGCCCCAGCTTACAAGAAGTTAAAGCCCATTTAGTTTTCCTTAAGTCATCTCTGTAAGCTAACTTTGCTGACAGGAATTGGTGAGGGTTACAGGAATTTTATCTAGCAAACAGCAAGAAAGAGCCACTAGTTACTAAACAACTTAGAATAGTAGTAAGTATACATTTGTACACAACAGAAAACACAAGATTTACATTTATAGCCTAAAATGTAAGTTAACCCATTACATATGGGGGACCTGGCCAAGATCCCCAACTGCCCATTTAAGGGGTACAGCGAAGAATGAAGAAAAGGCAGAAACAAATTCATAAAAGTGGGGCTTCAAGGTCTTTTCCAAGGAAAAAGACAGATACTCTGAGCTAGCCACTGTTTACTGTGTGTATACAATAATCAGAGAGAGGGTGCCGTGCCCCTAGGCTACTGAGGATCTTCATGTTGATGAGGATGGTGGGGAGGATAGCAAGTTAAAAAGCAAGTCCTTACTCCAAGGCAAAACCTTGCTTTTATTACTCCTGGGTTCCCTTCAGCTGATGCAGTCTTGCCCTGGGGTGTCACAGCATCAGGGGACCATTGAGGCCTCCATTCAGGCCTCTGGGCCTTAGCCTCCAATTTATAATTCAAGATCCCCAACAGGGGAAAACCTGTGGATCTGGCTAATGCTCCAGATTCTGAGCTGGATGTGAGTGATCTTAAGTCTTATATTTTACAGAAAACTCTTTGAGACTCTATGAGATGACAGTCAAATCCATACCAAAAGTCCTATTTTCTGCAGGATAACAGCCCTTTTATTTGACTGTGTTTCCATAGGTTCCCAACTGACTGTCCTTCTTTGCATACTTCCCTGAGAGCTCATTTTTTGTAGCTCTCCAAAGCCCTTCAGTTTACCTCACTATGCTGTGACACCACAGTTGCTCAACTGCCTTTCTGGCAGTTTGGACCCTTCTTGGTTTTCCTGTCTTTGTGTAGTACCATTGACCTCTTCATATGAAGCATGACTTGATATCTCTGCATTTGAGCCTGTCTAGGGAATGACTTGCTACTAAGATTTTTTTAAAACCCTACAAAACCACTGTCTTTCTCCAGAAATCCACTGTCCCTGTTGATCAATCTTAACACCCTAATCCTTTTTTCTTTTTCACCAAAGGCCAGTGACCTCACTATACTATTGAAATTTAGAATAAGAAGACTAGAATTTATCCGGGAGTCTCCCTTAGCTCCCTGTAGCAGAAGATTTGGGCCAGTTCTTGGAAAGTAGCTGAGCATAGTAGTGGCAGGGGAGATGAGTATGAGAAGGAGGTTGGGAAGTGCTCATCTTCTAAGATATCTGATAGAGCCACATAACCAGATCTGCTGCCATGGCAAAGCACGGGAACCCTGGCCTCTACTGCTGAGACCTGACCCAACCTCCTTCCTCAAACTAGAGCATGAAAAAGACCGGCTGTGTAAGAGTGCTGACTACATGAATCTGCACTTCAAGGTGAAGTGGCTCCACAATGAATACGTGCAGGATCTGCCTGCCATCCAGGGGCAGGTCCCAGAGTACCCAGCGTGAGTCATTTGGACCCTATGTAGAGGGATGGGAAGAGGCTCTTGGGCTGGCAGGGCTAGAATCCTCAATTAGCTCAGCAGCCAGTCTTGGGACTGCCTGTTCCAGGCACTTCTTAGAAAGTTCTGGGAAGAATGTCACACTGTGTGTTGCCCTCCAAAAGACCCTAGTCTGATATACTGTCAGGAATATAACCAATGCCAGTTACTAGCTTCAACCTCCTTCTCTGGCTGCAGGTGGTTTGAGCAGTTTGTGCTACAGTGGTTAGATGAAAATGAGGATGTGTCCCTGGAATTCCTACGTGGGGCCCTGGAACGAGATAAAAAGGATGGGGTAAGTTTAGGACTTGGGCTGCATGGAACAGTCCAGGTCATTCAGCATTTACCATGGCAGAAGTTCCTGGGCTTTTACCAGACTGGCTGTGCCTGCCCTATGGAGTCCACAGAGGATTGTGGAGAGCCACTGAGCCACTCTTGCTGGGCAGAACTTTTCAAACCTCATGAGCTTGAGGAAAGGTAGCAGCTATGGATGATTGACCTTGTATATTGCCTTCTTAGTTTCAGCAGACATCAGAGCATGCACTCTTTTCCTGCTCTGTGGTGGATGTCTTCACACAGCTCAACCAGAGTTTTGAAATCATTCGGAAGCTAGAATGCCCAGACCCCAACATCCTTGCCCACTACATGAGGAGATTTGCTAAGGTGATTATTCCTGCCCCCTCATCCTTATCACCACTACACTCACAGCCCAGTCTCACGTCTAAATTTAATCTTGTCTCTGAAGTAGCCTTCAGGTTTCCTTTTGTTTGTGTCTGGGACAGACACAGGAGTTATGGTGGTGTTCTGTGCTGGAAAGGGAGCTTTGCCCCTTCCTGTGAGAGTCCCTGTATTTCCCTGCTGTTGTTTTCCTGGTATGAAAAGTGCAACCTTCAGGCAAGATTCCTGAGTGGAGAGCTAAGAGTTCCCTTTCCTTCTCCTTTCTTCTTTTTCTCAGACCATCGGGAAGGTGCTGATGCAGTATGCAGACATCTTATCAAAGAACTTTCCAGCTTACTGCACAAAGGAGAAACTGGTAGGGCCCGGTCCTGGGGCACTAAGAAAGGATGTGGAGGACATTTGACTCCTTCTTGCTCTGGAAGTTACCCTAAGATGCCTTTGACTTCTGCTTCCCTCCAGAGCTTTGCTTGAGACACATACCACCAAGATAGTAAGAACTTGACTAAGAGTTCTAAGCCTCCATTTAGTGCTTTATCGTTTAGTAAAGTAGGCCTTTGTTTTTGAGACAGGATCTGACGGTTTCAGGCTGGGCTTGAAGTCCTGGCAAATCTCCTGCTTCAGCACCCGCCTCCCCCTAATGTGCTGCAATTGCAGGCATGAGCACCATGCCTGCGTAGGTGCACACCTGTAATCCCAGCACTGGGAAAGCAAAGGCAGGAGGACTGCCATGAGTTTGAGGTCAGCCTGGGCTACATATTGAGTTAAAAGCTAAACTCTACATAGCGAGACCTGTCCCAAAAACATTTAATACATTCAAGAAGTTATAAAGGTTAGTACTATGAATACCTGCCATCCCATCATCAGATTAATGACAAAAACATTTGCTTTGAATCTTAATTCAAGAAGAATTTTGTGAATTGGCTCCAGATCTTAGTGTTTAGGGAAATCTATGTAATATGTGAAGTCCCTGTGGCTTTGTAATAATGAGAGAAGAAAAGATCCTAGGCTAATGGGGCTGTGCTAGAAGGAACTAAGACTCAGGCAGTTCCATCTGTCCTCAAAGCCTTGCATCCTGATGAACAATATGCAGCAACTGAGGGTCCAGCTGGAGAAGATGTTTGAAGCCATGGGAGGCAAGGAGGTAAGCTTTAAGCTTTGGGGTCACTGTCCTCTTCCCATTGTTCCTGAGCTCCCTGGTCACAGAACTCTGTCCTCTCTTGATTAGCATGGGCTAGGAGTTTGTCTTGGGGTCTGGGCTGGCTTAATCTGAGGTGGGCATTGAGGCAAAACCCTAATAAGAAGGATATTCATTGTGGTGAGGCCCCTAGGAGGGAGGAGCAGGAATTAGGGTACAGCCTTAGGAGGGAAGAATAGAGGTACAGGAGGGAAGACTGTAAGAGAAGCAGCCTAGCCAGGCTCACCTCCTCTGGCTACAGCTGGATCCTGAAGCTGCAGACAGTCTGAAAGAGCTGCAGGTGAAACTGAATGCAGTTCTGGATGAGCTCAGCATGGTGTTTGGAAACAGGTCAGTGGTCCCAAGACACACAGCCCTTAGAGCCATATATTATTCCTGAGCAGTCCCAGAGCCCTGCCCACACCTTTCATCTAGCTGCAGATTTGTGGATCCTCCTTCTAGACTTGCTGCTGTTGCCACTGGAGAAGCACCATGAGCCTGAGGAACAGGCCTGAAGAGCTGGTGCTGCTCCAGGGTCAGTGCGGTAGGGCAGGCAGGGTGGCACAGTGGGTACATGTGTAGCTTCCAGGTGCGGATTGATGAATGTGTTCGGCAAATGGCTGAGATCCTGGGCCAAGTTCGGGGCACAGGAAATGCATCCCCCAACGCCAAGGCCTCAGTGGCTCAGGATGCAGATAGTGTGCTGCGGCCTCTCATGGACTTCCTTGATGGCAAGTGAGTAGAGTATTCAGGATTTCCTGTGGGGTCAAGTGAAGCAGAAGCTGTTAGACAGAGGAGCCTGTTTGGGGGCTGGGAGGGGGCAGATTGTCACTGTTGCTTCACCTGTTGTCTGGGCCTGCAGCCTCACACTCTTTGCCACTGTGTGTGAGAAGACAGTTCTGAAGCGAGTCCTAAAGGAGCTCTGGCGGGTGGTAATGAACACAATGGAGAGAATGATTGTCCTGCCTCCGCTCACTGACCAGACGGTAAAGACCCCTTCCTCTTACTTCCCGCTTCTGTGCCCCTTCCCGTCAGACCTTGTTTCCTGATGGAGTTTTAGAAATCTCTGATTTTTAACTGATCCCCTCTCTGCCCAGGGCACCCAGCTGATCTTCACCGCTGCCAAGGAGCTGAGCCAGCTTTCCAAGCTCAAGGTTCTGTGGGTTGGGATCCCCCTGAGGCTGGAAGGAGAGCCAGTGGATTTTGGAGATTGGAAGGGAGGGGGAAGAAAAGAATATGCCGCTATTGGCTGGCAGGTGGGGCAAGACCTTCATGACTGCCCTGAGCTGTCCTGATGCTGCTGCTTTCTCTGGGTTTCCAGGACCACATGGTGCGAGAGGAAACACGGAATCTCACTCCAAAGCAGTGTGCAGTCCTCGACCTTGCTCTGGATACTATCAAGGTGGAGACCTCTCCCTTTTCCAGATAGTTCTAACCACCACGCACACCTGGCCCTGCCATTCCGTCTTGCCAGACAAGGCCCCTGGGGCTCCACATCCAGATGAGAGGCCCTATGTACTGTCAGGGTTAGAGAGAATCAGATATGGTTCCTCAGTTTAAGACACTTACGATGGGTGAAGCGGGAGTAAAGCAGGTCTGTATAGACTATAATTCAAGGCACTTGGAAGACATGTCCTACGCATCAAGTTCCCTAAGGTTGAGAGGGATAAAAGTACTTTTGGCCATTCTCCCTGCCTCAAAGGCTTCTTGTCCCATATCTCTGCCTCTTCAAACTGCCCACCTCCAGGAATGCGGACCTCCCCTCTGCTCCTGCCAGATGCCCAAATTATGTGCTTTGCCTGAGAAACTGACTCATTCTGTGGGTGTTCCTGATCTACGGAGTGACCTATTCTTGCAGTCCTCTCCTGGCTTCTCTGAGGATGGTGGGGGAGCTGTCTGTCTGTGAGGGGGTGAAGCAGGTACTCATTTCTTTTTCAGCAATACTTCCATGCAGGAGGCAATGGGCTAAAGAAAACCTTCCTAGAGAAGAGTCCAGATCTGCAGTCCTTGCGCTATGCCCTGTCTCTGTACACACAGACCACAGACACTCTCATCAAGACCTTTGTGCGCTCACAGACTGCCCAGGGTAAGGCCAAAAGGGCTCTGTGTCCCATCTTCCCCTCTCCCATATACCTCTGCCAGTAGGGAATCAGTATTTTCTAGCCTTTCAGGAAGATCTAGTTTTTTCTTCAGACAGTCTTTCAAACTTGGATCTCAGGATTCTTTGAAAAGATCTCATTTCTTAACCCCAACCCATAGTACCAGGCAGGAGAATCAAAGGAGCTTGGAAATTGTGTCTGAGATTTCTTTTTCCTAGACATTGCCTGACAAGTGCATGTTTATTTAGTTCATGGAGAGTACCCTGTCTGATAAGGGGGAGAATAGGGCAAAATCTGTGAGGAGGCCTTGAGAATGAGTGTTTGGGAGCTTTGCTGGGAGTTGTCCTGGGGACAGAAAGCAAAATTTCTACACACTTTATTGTGGACCAGAAGACAGAGAAGCAAACCGTGGAAGCAGCTAAAGGGAAGGTGGGGACTAGGAGACACCGTGATAGTGGAGGCCTCAGCCTTAGGGTGGTTGCTATACACAGAGGACTAGACTGCTTGCTGGTTTTGTCTTAAGGGATTTCCAGTCATCAGAACTCACTGCCTCTAGCTAAGACCTTTCCAAACCAACACTTACCTACATAGATTCAGCTCAGACTGACATTTTGACCTGATCCTGCTCTCTCAGAAGTCACTTTGGGCATATTTGCTACTGTTTATTTCAGGAAAACCTAGGCAGACTGCCCAGGGGCAAGAACCTGCTGGTATGAGAGGGTGGTTTGGGTCTTACTGAGCTGTGGACTAGGGCACAGAGCTGACATGGAGGACAAATGGAAGCAGTTAGACTGAGATGATAGAAGGTAAGAATGTGGAGGAGACCTGAAACATTTTTGAGATATATATATATATATATATATATATATATATATGTATTTGGTACAGGATCTCACAACATAACTTGGACTTATAGTGATCTCCTGTTTTCAGCCTCCCCAGTGCTGGGATTACAGGCCTGTGCCACCAGGCCTTTGTGCTTGCCAGGGAAACGCTTATTCCACTGAGCCATCTCCCCAGCCCCCTGCTGAGCTATCTTGCCAGCCCTTCCATACAATTCTTATTGTCAGTCCAAGGTGGGGAAAAGTGAGCAAAAGAAATAGCAATGAGTCTGATTGAAGGAGGCAGGAAGAGCTGAGTACAGAAAGGCTTCTCAGAAGCACTGAGCTATAAACTGGATAAAAGCAAAGGACCCGGGTATTGGGACACATGCCTATAATCCAGCACTGTAGTGGGTGAGGCAGGAGACTGAAGTTTGAGCTTCACCTAGGCAACTTAGTGACTAATGAAATACTAAATAAAAAAGGACTGCAGATGTAATTCCTTGTGAAGGCCCTGGGTTTCAGTCCCTAGTACTACTTTTAAAAAAGCAAAATATAAAACCAAATATCAGAGGAGAGGCTGGAAGGGGTGCAGAGGGGGTGAGAACAGAAGTGCACCTGCAGGGAGCACACATGAGCATGCTTATTCTGTATGGAAGTTTGTCATTTAAGGGCCTAGGAAAGAACACTACAACCCCTTTGTTGCCCTTCTTTGTATATTCTACTGCATTTGCCCATGATTTGGGTGATCCCTGGTCCATGAAGTGGTAATGTGGAACATTCAGGCCCTGACCCCTGCTCTTAGACTTTTCTCCACCCTGCTCCACTTCTCTGCTCTTCTGGCATATGTGTAACACTGCTTTGAATGGCTGCAACTCCTTTGACCTCTAACTGTTCTTCTTTCTCTGTCCCACTGCTGCTACTACCTCTTGATTTGCCTGTCCTCACTCAGTGCATGATGGGAAAGGTATTAGGTTTACTGCTAACGAGGACATTCGACCGGAAAAGGGTATGTTAAATCCTGTGCAGACATGAATCTAACATGGACTGATGCTGAACTCTATGAACTGGAATGAGGGTGTGAAAATTCAGAAGCTGTAGCCCAAGTCTAGGAGATGGATGATGCATTCATGTAGCCTAGGAAAGGTTGCTGTTGTTAACCCTATTCTGTCCTCAGAATTCCACTCCCCCACACAACTACACACTTCAGGATGGAGAAGTTTTAGCTGAGGTGCACCATAGTGATGTTCTCTCAAAATAGGGTGGGGCTTCCGCTGAGAGGAGACTGGAAGTTGGCTCTTTTCAGAGATTGAGAATATAGTTTTTCTAAGGAGGGTGGCCTCCCAAGCAGGGGCCCTAGGAATCCTGGGGATAAGAGAAGTTGCTGTTTTTGCCTAGAGACCAACTATGTTCCATTCAGAGATCCCACAGATTGGCCATAATTCTCAGACACAGATCCAGGATCATAGCCCTGTGCTCCCCAATATCCAATGAAAATATCTTCAACCTAGGCAACAGGAGAGATGTGGGGATCCTGCAAGATTCATAGTACATCTTTGGAGGAAGTTTCTCCTAAAATGCTTTCAGATGTCACTTGTGTTACAACACATATTCACTGTCTCCTTTCCTTCCCTTCTCCCATTGCATATGTCCCCATGGCTACTGTGGGTGATTGCTTCCTATTTGTAGGATGGGGGCCACCTAACCCCTCAGTTTACGTGAAGAAATTAGTCCTAGGATCCTAGAGTTTTCCACTGAGCAGTTACCTGTCCATCTGTCTTAGGGTCTGGTGTGGACGATCCTGTGGGAGAAGTGTCTATTCAGGTGGACTTGTTTACACACCCTGGTACTGGGGAACACAAGGTCACAGTGAAAGGTGAGTGGTGTAGGCTTAGAGATCTGTCCCTTTTTTGCCCATGACCTCACTTACCAGTTGAGGGCAAGGGCTGCTCATCCTAGTCCTCCAGCTCAGCCCTTCTCCATGGGGAATATCAGCTGGAGCTCAAGGAGTGGGAATACCTGATCAAATCCCTCACGGTTTTCCTTTTTTTGGGCAGTTGTGGCTGCCAATGATCTCAAGTGGCAGACAGCAGGTATGTTCCGGCCTTTTGTGGAAGTGACCATGGTTGGCCCACACCAAAGTGATAAGAAGAGGAAGTTCACAACCAAGTCCAAAAGCAACAACTGGGCTCCCAAATACAATGAGACATTCCACTTGTAAGTTATGGGTGGGGTGCCTGCAAGACTGTGGAATGGGGCTAATGGGATGGGGGTTGTTAAAACTAAGAGGTGAGAAAAATGGTAGTCTGGATGACAGACTGGGGTAAATTCCACTGTGGACTCAGCCCTGGCATCCTATCTTCTCTCCTATGCTCACAGCCTTCTAGGAAATGAAGAAGGTCCCGAGACCTATGAGTTACAGATTTGTGTGAAGGATTACTGCTTTGCCCGGGAAGATCGCGTGCTAGGGCTGGCAGTGATGCCTCTAAGGGATGTCGCAGCCAAGGGCAGCTGTGCCTGCTGGTGTCCCTTGGGCCGGAAGATCCACATGGATGAGACAGGCATGACCATTCTCCGGATTCTGTCTCAAAGGAGCAATGATGAGGTCGCCCGAGAGTTTGTGAAACTCAAATCAGAGTCTCGTTCCACAGAAGAGGGGAGCTGAACATCTCTGATTCATGTGCCAATGGAGTGGCACTGATTGCATAAATCAGAGCTAATGAGAATTAGCTGTTTAGCCAACTTAGGGTCTTTATAGTCAAGAGATTGACCCCTTCAGTTAAGGATATTTAAGGGAAATTTGGGAGGTAGCTAAGAGCATGGCTTTTCACAGAAAGGACCATGAATCCCTAACCAACAGGTCTATGGTATTAGGAGCTAGATTGTGGGACGTACCACATGGAAGGAATTTCAAAAAAGGGAGAGGGACAGACATTTCAGAGTGTCAGCCATTTTGGCAGACACACCTCCACATCCCTTACAATCTTTACCCTATTCAAGCCACACCATACCCAGTTAGACACACACCAATCACTAGGAGAACAAGTGTAGAAAGCCCTGAGCTTGTACCTGACTGGCTAGATAGTGGATTTGCTGAACCTGGCGATGTACATTGGAGAATAGCCAGGGCAAAACCAAATAGAATAGAATTCACTGTCCCTTGAGCAGCATCCCCTGATTTTATGTGGCTCCAAAGAGAACAAGTCTTTGAAACTGAACAAGCTACTTTCTGAAATCAAGCTGTGCTAATCCCTTCCCTCAGGTTATATCTATCATGGGTAAAACCAATTTCATGTGGTGCTTCAGAGCTCTGAGCAGAATATTTCTTTGGAACCCAGAATCTGCCTAGAATCTCCCTACTTCATTCCTTAGGCAGGGGACTAGTGCTTAGAACACTAAAGACTGTTCTTACATGTGTAACCGAGGGCTAGATTGAAGTCCCAGGAATATTTTCTTCTTGGGCAGGCCCTGAACAAATCCAAAAATTATGGAACTAGTCTAGAGTCATGCTCACCTATGACCACTGCCTTCTGGCTGTCGTCCTTGTGGAAAAAAATCAGCCTTTTTCTTTTCTTCCTGTCATCTGGATCAGCGCTGATCCCTTCATAGATGTTCTACCCTACAGAAGGAGCTTGGACTCTGATCCTCCTGTACAGACTGGATGGAAGGGATGGGGCTCAACACTTCCTGGGCTCAACACTTCCTGGGAGTGACGAACTGGGCCTCTCAGACCTTCACTCAGATGTGACACGGTCCTTGGATTTCCTTGATGACAGCCTCCTAAACTTCCTGAGGATGCAGCATCATTCACAGTTGTACTGGCCAATATATGAAACAAGAACCAAGCATCTTTGCTGTTTTTAACTGTTGTATGTGCCATTGTTACAAGAGATAATAGGCTAGTCTGTAATAAATTACCTTCCAGCAGCCTTCGGGTTTGGTAATTCTGTGCAAGTATGGAAAGCCACAAAAATGACTGTTCTATATAGTGGCATCCTTTGGCCTAGTGGCCCTTGGCTGCTTCACATTCCCGCTTCCTCCTCCTCCCCACTTCCTACCAGCCAAGTGATAGCGCCTAAAGTTGTTCTGAAAGGGCCCCCAAGCAGAACAGCTGTATCTTGACCTGAGACCAACAGTCTGATTAATGGAGTCTTAGGGCCTAGTCTTGGGGTACCAGCTTACTATAAAAGGTTTGGAACAGGAGATGATGGGTGCCAGTGGAAATTTGCCCATCCTTCCTCTTTCATTTGTCTAGGATTGCTAGGACAACAACTTGGGTTGTGAGACAAGACAGGGACCTTCTGGGGAGAGACTTGCCTTCATGGGTTAGTAGGGGGCGTAGGGGGCTGGGGCTGCCGTGCACAGAACAGAGCGTTAGGAACACACACTGCCATTTCATTTACTGCATAGTAAAGAGGAGATGCAGCAAGGAAAGAGATGCTTCAAAGAAGAAGAGATGCAGCAAACAAAAAAAAAAAAAAAAAAAACCCAAACAAACAAAAAACCTCCCAATGAGGAAATAAGCTACAAATGAAACCTTGAGGCATAGGAATGAAACAAACTGAGAACTCACAACTCACTCCACCTGCACTGTCACCGCCTAGGGAAGTAGCTCTATTTCCATTTGCCTGATCATTAGATCTTCACAGTTTAGTTGTCAAGTCATTTAAAACTTCCTCCTCCCTCCCTCAAAACATTTTGTCATTTCTACATCAAAATTACCTGTTGAATCCACCGTCTCAACTTAGTTTCCACTACCGCAATGGGTTTTAGCCCCCTCTTCTGGATTACTGTGATAATGCCCTTTCCCTGTCCTATTCATCTACCTTTATTTCTTTGCCTTCCCTATTCAAACACGTATTGATGAAGTCTTTCCTGTTAAAGCTGTTAGTGGTCACCCATAGTCTCAGGCTTAAACTCCCAAGAGAGCACAACCACTCCACGTCCCATCCTGCCGCTGTCTCGAGCACTGTTCTTACAATTCCCCACGGGCGTGTGCACCGGTACCCCACAGTACCCATGCACATTCTAGTCCTCTTGCTGGAATGTCTAGCAGCTCTTTCCACTCCTAACTTAGGACATCTCTCAGAGGACTTTGGCACCGAACCAACTCGCTCACAGCACTCCACATAGGGTACTTACTTGCCTGCTTCCCCAAAGGCAGAGTGTTTTATCTCCGCCCCCCAGGGGGCGCTCAAGTATTCCAAAGCCACGCCGAGATCTGCTGGGTTCCGGGTGGGGGAGGTGCCCGGTGAAGGGGCGTGGCCTGCGGTGGGCTCGTGGGTGGGGCATGGGCGTGGTCCGCTCTGGGTCTGCGGCCTCCGCGCAGAAAGGTGCGTTAAAATGGAGGTTGGAAGAGACGGTGGCTGTGTGTCGAGGTTGAACAAGGGGTATCTGAAGAGGGCGCCCAAGGAGAGACTTGTCTCTTCCTCCTAACTCTGCTTATAGGCAGTTCCTCATGTTTGTACCCTTCTGTTCCGGTGGCTGACCATCCCCTTTCGTGAGAGCTGTTCTTCCAGTACGCCCCACCGCTCCTCGCGGACCTCCAGGGCGCAGGTTTCCCAGGAGCCCCCACCAGGTATCTGTTGAGATACCCCGCACAGGAGTTCTTTAAACCCTAAATAACCCTCAGAGGGCACACATCTGTCCATGTACTCCATGAAACACCTACCCCCAAATCCCAAGCTGTCGCTGTTAACTCAGAGTTTGTTCACTTTTCTAAAATTACCCAGATTCAGAGGGCAAACTTTGTCCTATATTTGACTTGGTAATGATATATTTGCTGTAATTCCTTTTCTTAAGGAGTAAGATATCTGTGTGGATAGGGAGAAGTAAAACTCCTGTCCATAGTATCCAACAAACTTGCAGGTCTGAATTAGTTACTGAGAGAAAAAAGGTGGGGAGAGAGGGAGGGAGGGAAGGTGGGAGAAAGAAACTAGATTTCTTATTTTAAAAATACAAGTTTCCAATTTCTTAAAAATTTTGACTATTAGCTTACAATCCCACAAAGGGCTAGATACTGAGGCCTGGTCAATGTTAAGGGGACTAAAAAGAAATAAACACAAGACCTACCAACAGTGTTGAGTCCCTAAGTAGCACTCCTGTGCCTAAAAGCTAAGGGAGAGAGGCTGTTGTTAGCAAAGCCCAGTTACAACTCTGGAATTGACCCTTGGGCAAGAAGTACAGCCATACAGACCCAAAAGCTACAACTCTTGTTGCATAGGTCCTGCTTTACCTTGGTCTTAACCATCCAGCAGAAAAGTATAAAAACGAAGTATAAGTAAAGCCATGCTGTTATGTTGAGCTGTAGGGGACTCAGGTCAACAATTTCTGACATTGCCAGTCAAGCGGAAGACCCAATACTATTATGGACTACTGGACTCTTTTAGAATATTTTGCTGAGTTAACATACCTATACTATTTAAATGATGGAACTTAACAAAAAAAGGGGATACAGATGAATGTCCATTTTGTATCTGTATTCAAAGTGGTTAGGATAGATATATAGTTACATTCTCTTAATGAATACAGGGATTTGCTCTAATGGTGTTTGTAAATAGGATATCAAGTCTGCATCTTGTACAGCAGTTAACCACTAGGAAGAATGTATGCAATATGTTAATTATTGAAACTGTCCTACCAATTTGGTCTGAAAAAAAAATAAATAAATAAATACTTTTGTCTCAAGCATAAAAAGATAAAATAAAATAAAACTAAAAAAAAAAAAAGAGGTACAGCCATAAAATGCTAAGCAGCTACTTCATGAACTTGGGCAAGGGAGAAGAATAAATGTCCTAACCCTTTTCCTTGTGCATTCCAGTTTTCAGCTAGTACCTGCTACTGACAAAACCCAAACAGCAGTCTAAGGGCAAAGAACAGAAGTCAGCTTCCCAGAACAGAGCAGAGATCTGGGCAATGGGAAAGGACAGAACAGCAAACAGGATAAAGAGCATACAAGTTATTTAAGGAAAGAAAAGTCACCACTATGGATGCTTTCCAAGAAGTTTTCTCTGTTCAAATTCAAAATCTACTGTAAGGCTCGGTCTCCTTATCTGTGTAATGGGAATGGTGCTGTCTTTGTCCCAGGTAAGTGTGAGGACTTGATATGGCACATGAAACTGCCTGGCATGGTGCCTGACACACCCTGGAAGCCCAGGATAGAATAATTCTTTTTTACACACAAAATGGTTCTTTGACCAGAATTTTCCAATCAGAGTCTCAAAGTGTGGCTGAATGAAGGGGAACAAAGGGATAAAACAGGCCTTGAAGCCCACTGTAATGACTAATTTTTAATGGAAGTATGGCAAGTCATTGGAAAGTTCTGTAGTATAACTTCTAGCTTCAGGGTTCCTATCATGCATTGTGGAATCACCTATTTAAAAATATTTATTTGAAATATATGCTAGGCATTGTTTTAGACACTGGAGATATGTTGATATGCCTATTTTCCTAACCCCAAGGTCAGCATGGCCTGATGAAAGAAAAACATTTTTAGTCAAGATATGAATGTCAAAATATAGAGTTTGAGGGCTGAGGAGGTAGCTCTGCTTTCTAAGTGCCTGCCTGGCAAGCACAAGGACTCAAGTTTGATCCCCTGTACTGCATGCTGTGCCAGCCCCAGAACCCCAGGTGCACCATGCTGGCCCTGAAACTGGGTGTGGCGAAGCAGGCCTGTAATCCCAGCACCGGGGAGGCTGAGACAGGAAGATCACTACGAGTCCAAACTACATAGTGAGACCCTGTATTAAAAAAAAAAAAAAGAGCTTGAAAAAAAGCATACCTGACCCATCTTGGGGACATCAGAAGTTTCATAAGAGGGATCTTTGATGTGAACTGAATCTTAATAAAATTTAGCCAGGTCTAAAAAGAGAGGAATGGAGTTCTGACATTTGAAGTAGCATGTGCATTTGGAATAAAAATGAAGGACATTGATAGTGTTCTGGGAATTGCAGGTAGTTTGTATTACTGGAGAACTGGTTTGGGGCAGGAACATTCTGAAATAAGATTAGAAAAATAAGCAGATTCCAGGTCATGATGCAGAATTTAGACTTTATCCTGAAGATAAGGATAGGTTTTCAAGCAAAAAAAGTAACCAAGATAGCATTTTGGAGGCTGGATATGTAGTTCAATAGTAGAAGAAGCTGTGGGAGTATAGAGAAGTAGACAGTTATTTCACCTTAAATTTCAGTAATGAGGGACAATGTACAGAATTTCATGGTTCATTACAAGATGGGAAGAAGAAAAGAGCATTGTCAAAGATGAATCTCACACTTCTGGCTTAGGCAAGGAGGAATAACATTGGTAACTGCTGTCTGAAGGAAGACAGGAAATGTGAAAAATCACAGATTTGGGGTTTGTGAAAAGTGGGTAATAGAGATGATGATTAGTTGTCAACATGTACATTTCTTTATTGTGGTAAATACATATTATATACAATTTTCCTTTATTTTTTGATAGGGGAAGTACTGGGGATTGACAGGACCTTCCCACTGAACTATATCCCTAGCCTTTTCAAATTAATTGTTTTCAACATTGGGAATTGAGCCCAAGACCTTTTGCACTGAACTACACCTCCCCAACCCTTTTTTTATTTTATATTTTGAGACAGGGTCTCACTAAATTCTGAAATTACTTAAATTGGGCTTGAACTTGCTGTTCTTCTGCTTCACCCTCTCAGATTTCTGGGGTTACAGGTGCACACCAACATGCTCCGCTAAATTTTCCATGTTAACCATTGGAAAGCATACAATTCAGTGATAATAAGTGCATTCATAGTGTTGTTGAATGTTGAACCATCACAATTATGTAATGGTAGAATTTTTTCATTACCCCAAAAGAAAACCATATACTCACTGACAGGTCACTCTCTAATACTTTAAGTACCTTAAGACTGAAGATACAGATTCCTGAGTCAGTCACATACAGAGGGAGAGAGAGACTTAATCTGAAACCTGTAGACTTGAGAAAGCATCTTTGTGTTTGGAATTTGGTGTAAAAGTATATCTATAAATGTGAATGTATATTTTTTTGCAGTATCCTAGGCTTTAATAAAATTCTCAAAGGAATTTCTTAACTTAAACAAATCCCCAGGAAAACTACACAGTGACCAAAAAAAAAAAAAAAAAGCAGGGAAATGAAATCCTGGGTAACACGTTTTGTGGTAGTCCAGAGGACATTTTCTTGACTATAAAAAACAAAATTCATGTCTACCTTAAGTAGAAACTTAGACTGTACCTTAGTGTTGCCTCTGCTAGGTGTTCAGACACATACTTTACAAAATCAATCATTTGTATCCCAGACTGTCTTACGTTATCACCCTTTTAACTTCCTGATGTAGTTTTATTTGGACATAGTTTTATTTGTTGTTGTTTGGTTGATGGAGAATGAAATTTACAGCAGGAATGCATGCATGTGTGTTCCTTGTGATATATTTTGCTAAACCAGTGGTTTTACAAGTTATAGGCTCTGACCCAACAACATGAGCTGTTGTAGAAAATGCAAATTCATGGGTCCTGCTACAAAGCTGATGAATCTGAAACTTATCAGTGGGACCGAGGCTTTCAGGCAACTCAAATGAGTTCTAACATTTGAGAACATCTGTGCTCAGCTATTTTTAGCCACCTTTTCTAGTCCATAACTAAAGCATGCATTCCTGGTTCCCTTATTATCTTTTCTTATAATAAAATCTAATTGGCAGTTTTTGGGCAAGCACTCTACCACTCAGCCCCAGCCCCGGCAAATTGGCAGTTTTTGGGATGCCTGATGAATTCCTCATAAAAGTTTGCTTTTAGTTATTGTTGTCTATGACCATTCTTGTCCACTAGTCTGAGTTCTGCATAAAAATATTTTTAGCAATGTGTTGTTTTCTTTGTTGTGCATAGTCATTTTCAACAATATAAATTGTAAACTAGCTATTAAAATGCTATGAAAAATATTTCTGTGAATACCCTTTCTTACAAATTTAGTCCATAGTATTAGAATCTCCCAGAAATCCAAGTCATATTCTTGACTTTGGAGAGGATGAATGAACCTCAATGAAACTGCACCCTTCTCTCTCTTCTTCTCCACTCAGGATTTTCAGGTACATGACTCTGTCTAGAGTTCCAATAGCTACATATATTTGGTTTCATAAAAGTAGTAGCCAGTCAGTAAAATGTCACAAACTGACTTTGGAGAGAATTTAATTTGATTACTGAGGCCAATCAAGGAAGGTTTTCAGCTTGTTCTAGTCTGAAGCATAAGCTAAGCAGTACAGTATTTTGGTTGTTTGTTTCCCCAAGACAGTACAGCAATTGAGAGAATGGGCAATGACTTATGTATCTTTGCATCTTTGACTGCATCTTAACATCTAAAATATGCCAGTCATTCAAGAAACACTTGACAAATTTACTTAGTCCGGAAGTTAGAGAGTAAATTATTTTAATTCTGGCCTTACCTCTAAGTCATTGTCAGTAAACTTAATGAACCTCTGCTTTACTCACCTCCAAAGATCTAATAAGTTTTCCTCTGCCTAAAATCTGTGTCTTTATGAGAAACTAGAGAGAGACTTTATAAGAAATACTCTTTAAAAGCCCTTAGAGAGCTGGGGATATAGCTCAGTGGCACAGCACAAGGTTGTGGATTCAGTTCCTGGTGTAAACACACACACACACACACACACACATACACACACACACACACACACACACACACACCAGAACCCCTAGGCATGTTAGTACACACCTTTAATCCCAGTGTTTGGGAGGCTGAGGCAGGAGAATCACAAGTTTGACGCTAGCCTGGTCTACATGAGTTCAAGGCCTGTCTTGAGACTTTTTCTCAAACAAAAAAATCAAGAACTCCAGACATCCCTTAAAATGTGAAGTAACATAATTTTGATTCAGATGCTCTCTCCCGTAAAGGTCTTTTTCTTTTTTTTTTTTTTTTCGTACCAGATCTCAAACTCAAGGCTTTACCTTTGCAAGGCAGGCACTGTGCCACTGAGCTACATCCCTGCTTTCTCTGCCCTAGAGAAATAATTGGTTCATTCTGGACTCTGAAGTGAGAACAACACAGCATATTGGGTTCCAGTCCTGATGTTATTTAAATTCTGTGGACCTTAATTTTCTTTTATCTCACCTCCAAAGAAGGTCTAGTAAGTTTTCCTCTGCGTAAAGTCTATGTCTTTATAAGAAACTAGAGAGAGAATGTATATAAGTACTCTTTAAAAGAAAGCAAGGAATAGAGTGATACAGATTCTCAGCCTTGGGTACACATCAGAATCACTTGAAGCTAAATCCTAGAATCTACTAATTTGGATTTAATTAGTCTGAGATGCATGGTAGGCCTTGAGATGTTTTTAAACTCCTCATGTGCAGCCAAGGATTTGGCCCTGTGCCTTTTCCTAAGATCTTTATGGATACCAGCTTTCTATTTCCTTCTGATTACTCTCTCTGACTCCAAGGTGATTAATAATCTGAAATTTAGCAGACAAAAGAACCCCCAGGTTTCCCACAGAGATTCTGCTCAGGTACATCTGGAATTACAGCCAGCTGTCTTTATTTTTCACAAGGACTTAATGTATTTGTAACAAGTGGTCTGGACCACACTTTTGGTGAAAACTACTCTAAGAAATTTATAGGCAAAAAATAGAATAACCAGTGCTCAAATTTGAGATAGAGTAGTGGACTTCCACATAAGTTCAGTTCCAGGTCCACCAAAGAGGAGCATCAGTTAGGGCTTAAATTATACTCCTGAGTCATAATGTGTCACTACATTATGACCACAGTTCTTAGTTACTGAAATCCACTTCAGAATAATGTTCATCTGTGACCAAGTCTGTAAGAGATGATCTAGAACAGGGTCAAGAGCAGTTAGTCAAAAGAGGGATTCATTTTCATATTTTGTCACTTTCTAATTATGGGGGAACCACTCAGACTGCTTCAAAGCTCAGGGGCATCTAAGGACACCTGAGTACATGACCTCACTATCTAGCACAGGTGCACAGCAGGGTACAGTTATGTAACCATGACTTAACACGTTTAGGTAAATACACATGCACTGGTTACAGCACTGTACAAGAATGTAAATATGAGATAACATGTATG